TGCTGATCAGAGCTCACCAGCAGGTCTTTATTCTCCGGGTGGTTGAGAACTCCGGGTTTTTATTTTTGCCGTGTGTGGGCGGGGAGCGGACGGGGGTGCAGGCCTGTTAAAGCACCCCCAACTCCCCATCTGTAGGCAGTAGCTCTCGGCTGGGGCTGGTGATCCCTGGTCTGGATCCTGAGTCTTTCTGGTCCCCAGCAGGGGCCGGTGACGGCAGTGGCCTGCCTGGCCCCAGGGGGGATCTCTCCTCTCCTTACCCTGTGCCCAGAAATACCCCTGACACTGAAGGGGCCCAGCCCAGAGGCCTGACTTTGGCAAGAACCAATACCCTCAGGAGCTCCGAAACACACAACCCAGTGCCCTCCCGGCCCGTTACGTGTAGCACACAATTAATTGGTCAATTGTGCAATATATGTAGACCAGCCACGCATGCCAAGTAATGAGCACGCCATAAAAATGGCCGTCCAGCCACAAAGTCAGTGCTTGAAAACATGTGACATCTTCAGAGCTGGTTTCTCTCCAGCTTTCATGTGAATGTGTGGCAAGGCCCAGGGGCCCTGCACTGGGCTAGACCCGGTGCCCTCAGCAACTCTGAAATCACCAGTCCTTCCCTGTCCCTTTCACCAAAGGAGCCCTGGAAAGGGAGGGTGGATCCTGGGTGCCGGACCGGGGGTTAATCCAGCCCTTGGGCACCGGGGGATCAGTGCTGCGCTGGCCAAATACTCAAGCACACCCTGGGCCCAGGCCACGGCAGGTTCCAGCCCTAGCGATTTGTTCTCTCTCTTGTCCTGTTTCCCAGCTCTAAAGCTGTGAGGGGGGAGCCGTTGTTGCAGCTATCCCGGGTGTCAAGGCTTGTCACCTACCGCAGCAGTGTGGGGTGCTGGTTGCAGCCCGGGCTGGGGGGTGCTGATGCTTCTGCCAGGGTCAAACCCGGCAGTCCCTGGCTGGAGGCAGAGTGCTGCCCCCTGCTCAGAGCCAGCCCAGCGCTGCATGGAGGGTCAGGCAGGATTCGGACCCCTGCTGACATCGGCCTGTCTCAGCCCCAGGGGGCAGGGCCCTGCCTGGCAGCTCGGGGGGCATCAGAGCTGCACGCCCATGGGCAGAGCCCTCGGCCCCAGTGCAGGAGGGGTGCTCGATGTTCCCCACATTGCATCTGGGTGAAGTTTTCAGAGCAGGTTGGACAGGCCTGAGCCTGGGCCTGGGCCGGGTCAGATCCTGCCAGGGGCTGGGCTGGACGTGGTCTGTGAGGTCTGAGAGACCCGGCCACCCTCAGAACCCGGTGTCTTCCACATCACGCCTGGTTCGCCCCCAACCGGGGACAGCGCGGGGAGGCCCTGCTGCCGTGGGACCGGCCCTGCAGATCTGCATGCCCGATTAACCACCTCCCGGAAGGAAGTGCCGCGGCCGTGCATTGCCACACTCCTCTGAACCCGCCGCACTTCCCCATGCAGCCCCCTGCCCCATCCCTTCCTCCAGCCCTGCCCTGCCCTGCCCGTGCCAGCTGCTGGCACCCTGGGCCTGTGGGCAGCTCTGTATCACGGGTCCCTGCAATCCCAAACCCCAGCCCGCCCCCCCACCCCCCAAGAGCCCCAGCGGAGGGATCTGAGAGCTGGCAGGAAGTGATGAAGCCACCTCATAACCACCCAGTTTGTCTGGGGTGGCAGGGGTGGCTGAGTGTTGGGGGGAGGGTGGGGAGTTAAGCCCTGCCCCCTCCTTGCTTTGACCCGGCCCCTCAACATCACCCCTTGCACACCAGCATGGGGGCGGCAGGGCTTAGTGCCACCCTGCCCTGGCCCACATTTCCTCGTGTACCTCGTGCCCCCACAATACACCCCACACCTCGGTGCTGGGAGGGAGAATGTGGCTGGCCTGTGTGATGCAGAGCGAGTCCTCCGAGGGGCGCAGGGTGTCCTCATCGTCAGCCCCCCGCCCCCCCTCCCCCCGAGAGACCGGGAACTTCCTGGGGTGGCGACAGCCCCAGCCCCATGCGAGGCATTTGCCACTCTCCTGTGACTTGGTCTTTCCCCAAGTTCCCACGAAGTGTCAACCTCGTTTCCTCCCCTCGAGAGGCTCTGGGCCGGCTCCAGGCACCAGCTGTGCGGCTGTGGCTGTGAAAGGGTTAATGCTGGGCCCCACCCCTTGTGCCTGCTGGGCAGAGAGGACCTGCCCCTAGAGCACAGCGTCTCCGTGCTTCTGTTCCAGGCTGTGCCAACGCTGCTGCTGGGATCAGACCTGGAGGGTCCTGGCTAGAGGGCCTTGCCTTCCGCTCAGGGTCACCTGCAGGCTGCATTTGGGGTCAGGAAGGTCTTGTCCCCCCGTGGACTGTGCCTGGGACCTCTCCAGCCCCTCAGCCCCCGGCTTCACCTGGAGCAGCACTGGGGGCTCTGGGTGTCTGGGCACTGGGCCTTATTGCTAGGTGCTGGGGCTGTTGAGTAGCTAGACCTGCCTGGGGGGGCTTGGCTGGGGCTGGGGCTGGGGCTGATGCTGCCTCGGGCAGGGGGCTGGGCAGGACAAGACCTCCAGTGGGCTCTGCCAGCCCGGCTTCCTCCCACCCCTCGATGTTGGAGGGCAGGGGCGGGCATGTGGTATGCGGAGAAATGCGGTAGGTGCCTCAGCCCGAATATCTTCCAGGGGTGCATCTGCTTTTGCTGCCACCGTAAGGGCCTGGCCACATATTGGTCAGTCTTCCAGGCATCCCATGCTGCATTGCTCCTCGCCCCCTGGGCTCCAGCTGGTCGCTCTGGTACACAGCCAGAACTCTACTGCCCCCTTTTAGTCTCTTGCTTTGGCCTCTTGCCCTGCTTGATCAGTCCAAGGGATCTCGCTTACAGCCAGCCTGGTCCTTGCTCCCAGCTCCACCGTGGCCCCTCATCATCGCCACCCCCCAGCCCTGGGGACCTCCAAAGGCTCCCTGTCCCCAGCAGGGCAGGCCGGGCTGGGGGCTCACTCCTGGCGCCCGCGGCACTGTCTGAGCCGCAGCACTTCAGTGCCTCAAAGGTGCCATAGAGAGCCTGGCGCTGCACGTGCAATGCCTCCAACCCACAAACCAGGTCAGGCCAAGCCCTGCGCCGAGACCCTTCCGCCGCGCCGGCCTTCATAGACCCAGTCACCTGGACAGTATTTACCTGCATACAGTATGCGCTCTGCCCCCCCCAAACTCAGCCCCTGGTCATCGGGAGTGTGCGTCTTCAACAAAGGGGTGCGGGGAGCAGAGGCCTGAGGATGCAGGGCCACTGCGCTTGCCTGCCAAAATCCTTACCGGCATTTTCAAGGCAGGGTCGTTTATTTTCCGCCAGAAAGCAAGGTGCAGAGGCCGTTTGGGCGGCGCGTGGTATTCCAGGAAATACAGTAATTGCCCTTTCCTTGGCACAGCTGATCACTGGACTGAGTCAGCTCCTGGGCCTAGAGGTGATTGCATCTAAATATTTAGCTTCGGCTGGTTAGCGGGGAAATGTTTAGACATGTCAGCTTGTTAAACTAATAGCTTGACCGGGGCGGGGTTGGCAGCGAGCTCAGCCCTGGCCGGATGCAGCCCCCAGGCCCCGAGCAGGTGCCCTGACTCACCCCGCCCCCAGCCTCAATTGCAGCCTCCTATAAAGTCATCAGGTGCGTCATTGTCAGCCACAGGATCCACAGGGACTGATGGCGGGGCTGCTCTGACCCACCTCGGAGCAAATGCCCCATCCCCAGGCCTGATCCACCCTCATGACCCCCAGGGCTGGGGACGCCACAGTTGCAGCCTGCCTGATGCTGCCTAACCCTGGCAGCTCCTCCTAGGACCAGCAGGACGCTGCTTTGGGGTCAGGCAGGAATCGGATCCCCATCCGAGACATGGGGGGCTGCGCCTGCCGCCGCAGCAGGGACCTGGGAGCTCTGGGGGCGCTGCGAGAGGTCTCCCACGTTAGGCTGGGCTGGTTCAGATTTGGGGGCCGGGCCCCCCACCACTACAGCCCAGCACGTGCCCCACAGCCCTCCGGATTGCCCCCAGCATCCACGGTTGGGGCGGGGTGACTCAGGGAGCATTGCAGCCACCACTTCCTCTTCCCACCGGGCCTGTGAGGGCACGTGGGGACCCGCCCCGCAAAGCCGGCAGCCTTGGGGCAGAAAACAGAGCTGGGGATCCCCACACCCCGCCCAGAGCACTGGGTGCCAGCCAGGGGGCCAGTAGCTGCCTCGGTTTCCCTTGGAGGCAGCTGATGCTCCCCTGACCAGGGGCCCTGGCGAGCAAGCTGTAGAGATGGGACAGGTTCCCTTGCTCCCCCACCCGACATGCCCCATCTTCACTTTGGCCTGTGCTGGCGTCAGGTCACACGCAGATGTCCAGGGCATTAGCCCGTTCCAGCCTCCACATCAATGGGATCAGCCCATCTTTGCCCTCTGGCCATGGTGGGTCTGGGGGCAAGCGCAGATGGGGGTGATGGGCCTAGGGCTGGTCTCTGGTCTGGGTCCCTCACCACCCATCTAGGCAGCCTGGCACTGGCAGCTGTGCCCTTCAGGCTTTCCCATGCTGGACTCAGCCCCCAGGGAACCCGGGTGGGTGAGCGCCTGGGCTCCAGGTGCTCTCCAGCCCCTCCTGTGGGTGCTGCAGCTGCGGGAGGCTGGGCCGAGGCTGGGCGGTGTTGGGAGCGGCTGCATCCTGAGCTGGGGGCTTGGCAGCACTAATGGGCGCCCTGTTGAGGGACTCAGCTCTGAGCAAGGGTCTGGCACCTACCGGATCCACGCGCCCACACAGAACCCAGGCATCCAGGACATGCCCCCACACACGTATGCAGCCCAGCATCCGGGACACATGCACCCACACACATGCACTCACAGGCAGCCCAGACATCTGGGACACGCATGCGCACGCACATGGAAGCCGGGCATCCCGGGCGCACACACGGAACCCAGTCATCTGGAACGTGCCTACACATGTACGCAGCCCAGGCATCCGGGGCATGCACGCACGCACGCACGCACGCATGCTCACAGGACCCAGGCGTCTCGGAAGACACCCCAGCCCCTTACCCCCGTTCAGTGGTGGTGTTGGGGGCTGGCAGGGCTCAACTCGCACAAGGGCGTGTGAAGGCCCTGGGGCAGCTGGTCCCACCGGACCTGGGACAAGGGCAGGGGAGCTCTGGGGATCCCAGGCTGTGCTGTGCCGGGGGGGGATCCTGGGGGCCCGTGCTGTGCTGGGGGAAAGCTGAGGTTGTGACTGATGCAGAGCCCCACGTGTCTCAGGTTGTTCAGCTTGACACTAAAGAAGCTGGTGATGCTGAAGGAGATGGACAAGGACCTCAGCTCTGTTGTCATCGCTGTCAAGCTACAGGTCTGCCTGGCTGGGGGGCATGGGGGTTAGAGGCAAGAGGGGTGGTGGCCAGCAAGGCCTGAGGGTGGGTGGCATCAGGGGCCACATGATGGGGTGCTTCAGGGGAGCAGGGGGACTCTGCCCCTGGCCTGTGGGCTCAGGGCCCCCCTGCCCCAAGCTGCCCTTTGCTCTGTGCTCTTTCCCCTGGCAGGGGCAGGCACTGCTTCCTCCCACCCTGGCACAGGTGGCACCCCCAGCCCCCTCCTGCTGCCCCAGCATGTAGCTGATCCTGTAGCTGTGACCCTGCCACTGCCCTGGGGGTGGGGGAGTCAGGCTGGCTCCTATGCCCAGGGCTCAGGGTATGGGGGGGGACTCATGCATGACCTTGTCCCTCTGCCCCCAGGGCTCGAAGCGGATCCTGCGCTCCAATGAAATTGTGCTGCCAGTCAGCGGCCTGGTGGAGACGGACCTGCAGCTCACCTTCTCCCTGCAGGTGGGCACCACGCTGGGCTGGGAGGGAGGTACAGGGGAGGCCACATGCCAGCCCCTAGTCCGGGGCACTAGCCCTGGCGCTGGGGGGAGGGGGCTGCAGGGGCTGGGTCCTGACACCCTGGTGCCCGCAGTACCCGCACTTCCTGAAGCGGGATGCCAACAAGCTGCAGATCATGCTGCAGCGCCGCAAGCGCTACAAGAACCGGACCATCCTGGGCTACAAGACGCTGGCCGTGGGGCTTATCAATATGGCTGAGGTGAGTGGGGGGTTGGCACCGCGGGGACCCCCCAGCCCAGCCCCGAGCCTTGCTCCAGTCCCATAGCTCCCAGCTCTATCCTGGCCCCACAGCCCTGTCCTTGGCCCCTGGCCACCAGCTCTACCCCTGCCCTCAGCCACACAGCCTTGCCCTTGGACCTCTGCCCCCAGCTCTGCCCCAGCCCCACAGCCCTGGCCCTGGCCCTGGCCCTGGTCCTGCCTTGGGTCCCCAGGACCAGCCCTGGCCCAGCCCCGGCTCCAGCGTGCCATCCGCACCTGACATCCGCTGCCTGCAGGTGATGCAGCACCCCAGCGAGGGGGCACTGGTGCTGGGGCTGCACAGCAGTGTGAAGGACGTGTCGGTGACGGTGGCCGAGATCAAGATCTACTCACTGTCCAGCCAGCCCATTGACCACGAGGGCCTCAAGAAGCTCTCAGGTACGGCACCCACATGGGCAGCTGCCCAGTCTGGCTTGGCAGGGCACAGAGGGGCCCGTGCCTCGGTTTCCCTTCCCTGCCCCCAAAGCTTCTTGGCTGCCTGCAGGCAAGCCCTGGCCTGGCACTGGGTACCAGGTACCCCCCTGCTCCAGCATCCTGCTCGTTGCCAGCGCCAAGGCCTGGGCAGTGCCGGAGGCAGGCTGCCATCTTGGCAGCTGTGTTGATGGTTCCCACGGTGCCAGACGCCTGTGTCCCTCACACCAGGCCCCGTCTTCATAGTTTCATAGTTGGTCGGGTCGGAAGGGACCTGAAGAGATCATCTAGTCCGATCCCC